TTGTGGCAAGAGTAAATAGTACCATTTTCGTTTGGGGTTGAGCCCATGGAGCGCAGTAACCAGCGAAGCTTTAGGTAATGCCGTGCCGGAGAAATAGAAAGCTTTACCGATAAACAAACCGAAATGGGTCTTGTTGAATCACCTGAATATTTATTTTTGAAAAACAACAGCCAGAGGAAATTCGTCATTCTTCACTTTGAAGGATAGCGTTTTCATCAGGAATTTGTGTAAATAGCAAATCAGAACTTAGGAGAATCTGTTTGTGATAGCTCGCTCGTCATGGTATTAAAAATATAATGAATTTAATATGTGGTATTGGTTTTGTTAAATGAAGGTTCTAGGTAGAAAACGAAACCGCATTGAAAAGGGAGATGGAGAAGATCAGCCGCTTTCATGAAGGTCTTTTGCTCAATAGAAAGCATGATACAACGGGTTAAATTTTCCAAATTATGAACACACACCGAAAACTCACGGTGTTTTCAGCATCACACCCGCAAACAAAACTCGGATTGTACAATCGAATCCAAATTGCACCTGAGAAACTTTAGGATTGTGTGCCAATAATTTAAGTTACCCGATTCGTAATCGCAATGTCACTGATCCGGGCGATTATAAAGCCTGACTAAATGTGGTTAATTACAGAGAAGCCACAACAACTATTGATGACAATTCGCTTAATTCTGCAAAGAATCCCTCCGAGGGAATCACCAGCGCTGCGTGCAGATTAAATCACATGAAAATCTACCATGAGCTTTGAGCAGTTTTACTCTGACATGCACCAGGGTGATTCTGCCCTATGATATATTATTCCCTTTTGCGTTCATCTTCAGCTCTGCCAGATGATTGAACTCGAACCACTCGATGAACGCGGCATACGTGACGATGCACATCAAAAGTTTGAAGAACGTTCCAACCCCATTTCCATTGTGGATCATTTGTGGACTTTCTATGATATCAATGATTGCTGCCTGCAATCTCAACTTCATCCAGATCAAGATCGGGGACGACTTGTCGATCAGGCTAACGCAAGTCAAACCGAGTGGTCAATTCAATGGTAGTACAATTAATGAATTGCAATTTACCATGGACAAAATTACGATGAAACGTAAGAGGACGTTTCCGTGATAACCTACTATGATGACACTTGAAATGTTTTCCCCTGCACACCTGAATTATTCTGTGTGCCCATGTTCATTAGCAGGTGGACAGAACGATGAGTTGGGAGGCCGATCAATATAACGATTTCCGTTAGATTTGCGGACGCTGCGAGGGAAGAAGACAACCAATTTTTAAGGGTAAATTATATAACATATACATATATAGATACACGTTTGAGTCACTGGTCCGTTGTCTTTTACTTAAAAGCTTCCATCGTTTGATTGTCTCAATGTTCATCTTGCATAGATTGTTGATTACTTTTCGTGAAGATATCTCAGTGTTAAATTGTGAAGAAGACAGCCAACGGCCTCATTCAATAGTCTGAGAAAACTTCAAGAAGCTTTCTTACCATCCTTTACTTTTGTGAATTATATCATAGATATACCCATCACTCACTGTCTCTAGAGTACTCCATTTATGCTGATAATAGTGTCGTTTCCGTTTCGGTATCTAACCAATCAGAACTGGCTGTTTATAATGGACTATAACTGACGAGTTGTCTATTCCATTTTGTCCAGTCTGTATCTCCATGCCGAAAAATGTGTTTTCACTTTGAACTGTTCTACAACTTCCTCTGTCAGGATCCGGATTAAGAGAACGCCGGTGGGCAGTGTCAGATATGTGACGTACCCAGGTGGAACACTTGAAAGCAACCTTCGATAGTCTTTGAATGACAAAACTGTTGCTTGCAAGCTGGAACTGTTCTCCTTACAGACACGATTATTGCGTCTATTCAAGTTCTTCAAGTTCTTTCGTCTAAGACAGCGTTTTGACCATGGTCCCTTTTTATGTGAAAGCTTATGCATGTATCACTGAACCTTCCAAACAATATTGTAAAATAAGGCTTCATACCAGTGACTAAAAAATATATATACATATGTATGTTATATAATTTACCCTTAAAAATTGGTTGTCTTCTTCCCTCGCAGCGTCCGCAAATCTAACGGAAATCGTTATATTGATCGGCCTCCCAACTCATCGTTCTGTCCACCTG